AGCCCATTTTAAAATAAATTAACAGCTGTCTAATCAAACCTAGTATTGAGCTAGCAGTCAGAACCATGAAAAAACAACCATATCCATATCCTTTTAGCCAATTTCCTTGTCTTGATTTCTGTACAACAAAACAGTAAGAACAAAAAGATTCTTGTGATAAACCTATGGATAGGTCCTGCTGTTTATTTGGCCATGACTCATGTATGTCTGCAGCATGGCTCTGTTTCTTGCCTCGATATGCCACATCAAGTTATCTTGGAATTATTATTAAAATTACAGCCTCGGGCATTAGCCAAATGCCCATTTCATTTCAGTGAACATCTTGCGAAATGCTCAAATATCCTAAATAAGGCCATCCCTTGTTCCTTCTCATTCTCTGTATTCTGATAACTGTGCCACATTTTAGTAAAATATACTGAATTGCAGTTTTTCTCAAGTCACAGATTGAAGATTCTGCTTCTGCAGGATACTATTCCAGTCCACATTTCCAGCCTTTAAATGATTGCTTTTTTTTTGTACTTAGTTTAGTTTATGGTTTATAGTTTTTTACTTCAGTGCAGCTTCACATTTAATAAAGACAGTGTTTGGTTAGAAAGGAAAAAAATGGGCATGTTTGATCTTGACCATAGAAATACAATTATGCAGGAAATAATATAATGCTATCATTTTTGTTCAAGATCGGTAAAGCTCAAAACATATCTTAAAGGAGGAAGTTCAAGGGGGGAAAAGAAAAGAATTAAAAAATAAAGAGAGGGAGTAACTGCAGAAGAATTGAGCAATGTCCAGCAACTAATTTTTCCAACTTTCATTACTCGTTTATCCTGGTACTTGTAGGAGGTTTAGAATCCCACAGTACACTTGACAAGCAGTGCAGCATTATTCCACGGAATAAGGAAAATACCTTCTTTGGTCCCAGCTGGCAGTAAATGAGACTTGACACACAGGATTAAGAGGCCGAATTATTTTTGAAGCAACTCTAGCATTTTTTAATTTGTGAATCAGAATGGCACTGTGCTTCTCCTGCTCATTTCTGATCTCCTGAGTTTGGCTGTGAGCTCACGTTTTTGTGTTCTTTGCTGCCAGGTGCTCAAAGGCCATGACGATCACGTGATCACATGCCTGCAGTTCTGCGGGAACCGGATAGTGAGCGGCTCTGATGACAATACACTGAAAGTGTGGTCAGCAGTTACCGGCAAGGTAAGCGGATGGCGTGCGTGGATTTCTTAGGACAAGGGCTGCCAGTTAGCGCTGGGATACGGGTTGAAAATATCACTGTTGTGCCCGGCCACACCCACAGCGGTGTCTGAGGCTGCCTGATGAAAGAGTCGGGAAAGCGAACGGTAGACATTTGGGTCATCTTCTCCTGCACAGAGACTGGTTCAAAAAAGTCACCTTGATGTGAAATTACAATGCTGCTCATGCTACTGTTGGCATATATCCTTGTTCTCTTGGCAATTCTTCTATTCTCGTGGAGTCATTTGTGACATGGATTCTAAAGAATTTGGACAGATATGTTGCTTTATCCTCCTTAAAGCTTAATTTAGCCTCGTTTTACTCCTCTAGATCTGACTTGTCTTCTATCGTTCTTTCTGTTGCTTTTAAGTTATTGAAATGGTGTGTTGATTTTACTGGCTCTGTTTTCCAATGCAGTTTGTTTTTCATTCTAAGCTGCTACACTGCTGAGCCACAGGAAAAAAAAAAAAAGTGTAACTTGCTTTAGGTTTAAATATTTCCTATTAAATTAGATCCAGCTCAGGCAGGAATTTAATAAGCTTCAATAATTTAATTTTGGCTTAGAGAAGCAAAACAATATGTGCAATCAAAAAGACAGTGCTGAGCATTTCACTCATGTCAGAACATCACAGCTACTCAGCAAACAGTTCCATATAGCTATAGGAAAGGCCACAGAGCAGTAGTATGTTTTCCATCTAGACTAGTATCATATAGACTTGGTATTGTTGTAACAATATAATTATTTGAACACAGGACAGTTTTTGAGATTAACTTGATAATGTTCAAGTTGAACGTGTAAAGGATTTGCCTCTGCATGCCTAATAATGCCTTGACAAGGTTATAAATACTACAGTGGGAAAGAATAAAATCCAAAGCAATAGGCAGCCTCCTCCTACCTCTCCTAGCTTTCCTGCAGCAAACTGTCTAATGAAGGAACCCATGGTAAATTTTTCATATTATACCTGAAGAGGCAGGCTAAACTGAGATAAAAAATACTTCCTTTCTGTATACAGGCCTCTCAGAAGCAAAATGTTCTTTTAAATGTATGAAATTGATTGTGATAGCACAACTTACCAATTGATGTTCAGTAATTTGTGTGAAAATAATTTCGGATTCTAATGCGACTGTTTACCCTAAACCTTAGAGGTAAATACTGTATGTGAAAGAGGGCTGTATTGGCCCTTATGCTTACTGGTAGTGAAGAATTAATAAAATGAAAAGAACCCTAGGGGTTGATCTGCGCAAATGAACATGGCTAAACAATCCCCTTGACAGATGTAAAGCCCAGAGTAAGGATTCTGTGTTCTTACTGCCTTACAAGGATGATTTCTTGAAATATGAACAAATCAGTGGAAACTTACTTGAAAAAGTTGGAGAGCTGTAAAAGTGAAAAGCAGTTATGAAATTAAAAAGATGGAACTGCTAGGCATGAATTAGGAAGCAGAAATTGCAGAAAACTGGTAGAAGAACTGGAAATGTAAGTACAGCAGAAATGTAAGGATGTTTGTTAGAAAGGATATTACAGTAGAAATTAGTGTACTGTTGATTGCTGATGCAGAATAAGTACTTATGTTTGAAGAAAATTCATACGATGGAAATCCAGCATGCAGCAATGATAGAATATTTCAGCAGAAATTTGAAAGGGCATTAAAAACAACCACCAAAGCTGGGGCGTATGTTATTACAGCTGGTTCAGATAGCTGCATCGTCTGTATTCTGTGATTGGTTTCTAAAGTTACCTGTGGGGTAAAATAGGTGTGTTTTTTTCCCAACAGAAGGAAGCTAAAATGTATCAATATTTAAACTGAGTAAACTGGAAGACTGGGTTTTTAGGATACCTTATCTCAGATAAAAAAAATATTAGATTACGTAAAAAGGAGTCATTAATGGAGAAGGGCCACGGATGTTAATTCCAGTTAGCATTAGATTACAGAAAAAGAGATCAGCCGACTGTCTTGACCTCTTTGCTGATGCAGGTAGAGGTTGGCCTGATAAAAATAATAGTGCTGAAATAGATGGCTGTCTGCACTGCAAGACAGTATCCCATGACACAACTAAAGAAAACAGAGCAGTGCAAAAATCAACATGGCACATATTTAAATGGGTTAGAAAGTGGGTAATTAGCGAGATCAGGTTATTAATGTAAATGCAGAATCTGTATGGAGTATCTTTCTAGAGGGGTCTTGCAAGGATCTGTTCTTGTCTGTACTAATTAGCACTTACTGCTGCTTGATGAAAATGCATATACAGTCGTGACTTGTAAGGAATACAGACAGAGATGGAGACAAAACAATGTTCCAGAGTGGGTGAGATTTTATAGAAGAAAGCGTGAGCAATCACTCTTCCTACATGGTGAAAAATCATGTCACACAGCTAGTACCAAAGAAGGCCAGCCACGTGTGTGTAATGTGGGATTCTCTCCTGGGCAACAGTGATGTCTGTAGATGGTTGGAAACATGATTTCGCAGTGTTGATGCTGTAGCTGTAGCTTACAGAATGTGCTGTTTCTTGGATAAATAAGCAGAAACATTAAGTAAGAGAATAGTTTATAGATTGGTGGTAAAACTACTAAGTGAATGCTCTCTCCAGTCCTAACGTTTATGCTTCAGAAACATATTGGAAACCTGCAGTGACTCAGAAAAACTGCCAAGATGAAGACTCAAGGCTACAAAATGCATCTTCTAGAACTTGGCAAAGACAGTCTAGCAAAAGCAAGATTATAGGGGAAGTTCCTTACAGTCCAAGTACCTGCAGAGGAGAGAGGAACTTAATGGGCATTGTCTAGCAGATGTAAATTTTCAGTACAAGAGCAGAGCAATCCCCAGGAGCCTTCTGGCTCTTGCTATGACACGCTACTGTTACCTCCTTGATTACTATTTCTAAAACTTGTGTTAAAGTCTGTCAAAACGGTAACTGAGCCGCACGTTTCTTTTCAGTGCTTGAGAACATTAGTTGGACATACAGGTGGAGTCTGGTCATCACAGATGAGGGACAACATCATCATCAGTGGATCTACAGACCGGACTTTGAAAGTCTGGAACGCTGAGACTGGCGAATGCATACATACTTTGTATGGACACACCTCCACGGTGCGCTGCATGCATCTCCACGAGAAGAGGTAAGCCTCTGTCCAAAGCTACAGCCACATCTGGCTTCTGATCTGCACTCTGTTCACACAAACACTTGTTAAATTCGGGTGTCTGATCAGACGCTGAGTGAAATACGGAACAGGCGGAGCATCCAAACTGAAGTACATCAGTTGACTAAGGGAGGAGATTATTAATAGAAGCAAAAGCACACAAGTATTAACTAAAGAACAGAAAACTAAAAGAGTCAGGAACTTTATAAAGCCGTCTTTTACCTTATCCCAAAAATCATTCTTTGTTACAGCCTGATCCAGTCTACCACACTGAATAATTTATTCTTGGCTTTTTGTAAATGTTACAGACTTGCTCATTTTGCAGAGTGACTTATGCATTGTTGGTGTGGTACTTTACTACAATTTTAACTTACTGTATCATCATTTCTGCAGTAGAAATTCTTGATTCAAGGAACATTGGCAGAGCTACTTTACTTGGCTGTGGTATGGTGCTGTTGTCCAAGTGCCCGTTGGTTACATTTATTTTTTGAAGAATGCGGAGGTTTTTCTTTATCTGTGCCACTAATATTAATTCCTTCTCACTTCTGTGCTTGCCTAAAAAGGCTTTAAAAAGTATAAACTGAGGAAAAAAACAAGCAGAATAATCGTTCCTTTGCTAAAAGTATAACTTCTAAAGATCTTCTTTAATTGTTATAATTAGTTAATTCAGTCATTTAAGCAGGATGCTCAAAGTGCTAATTTGAACTCGGCATATTCATAAGCTTTATGGGTGGATACAGTAGTCCACGTAGTTTCTCATGGCATCATTTTGCTGTTCGGGACTCGAGTGCTTTTTAAATAGAGATTGCTAATTATATCAAATAGATCCTGGAGAGACGAGAACGGCGAGGAAGAAACGCACTTGAGTCATTTGCATCCCTAATAAAATGTCATACCAAACCAGATCTTCGGTGCCTAGTGGACAAATGCTGTCTGGTCATCCCAGATGAAAACTTCAAACTGATTTATATTGTTTTAATGCTTTTATTTCCAAAGCTAAATATAGGAGGGGTTTTCTTGTTCCTCCAGAGTGGTCAGTGGTTCTCGAGATGCTACACTGAGAGTTTGGGACATAGAGACGGGCCAGTGTTTACATGTTCTGATGGGCCACGTAGCTGCAGTTCGATGCGTTCAGTATGATGGCAGAAGGGTTGTAAGTGGTGCATATGACTTTATGGTCAAAGTGTGGGATCCAGAGACTGAGACCTGTCTGCACACACTGCAAGGGCATACCAACAGAGTCTATTCATTACAGGTAAGCGATTTTCATCTGCTGCTTATATGAACACAGTGCATTTCACCTCTTTTATTAATTTGTGAAAACCTGCTGCAGAGTTACATAGGCCAAAGAATACTGGGGCATCTGTGATATTCCCCTTCTCCATTTTTTCATCTTTGTTTTATGTTGGCTTAATTTAGAGGCTGTGTTTTGTTGTTGTTTTTTTTTAGAAGAGTACTGTTAAAGCCCATAGTGCAATAATGCCCAAATCTCTGTCCTGACAAATTATGTACTTTTGCAGGGCTCGGGGTTGTTTGTTAGGTGTTTTTTAAATGTTGTATGCATTTTGGAAGTATGCTTTTGGCTTCCCCAAAAGAAGTTCTAATGTTACTATTTAAATACGTTAGATAATACAGTATTTGAAAATGTGCCAGAAACCCCATTGGATTAATGTTCTGAATTAAGCAAATCTGTTTATCCTGATTTTGTAGTCACATCCTCTAGTTCCAAACTGTAATTCATAGTAAGGATGAACCTAAAATGTAATGCCCTGACTTAAGTGTCTATTTTACTAGTTCTGAGCAAAGGCTGTGTCTACAGTTCTGAGGCTTTGGCAGCAGAGACACGTTATTGTAGATGCAGATTCTTGGTACCAGTGTATGGCATGGCCAGTTACCTCTCGCCTGACTTCACCAGAATTATGCTGGCAAAGTCATACACAGACCTCATGTAGACTCTTCTTACCTTTACTATTCCAAAAGATCATCTTGTTCATTCGTGGAGTGAAAGCATCAATTCCAGGCACTGAAAGGAGAAAGAAATTAATTTCATGCTTGTGCCTGTTCTCATTGCAATCTAGCAGAACTGAAAAAAGAAATTAACAACAAATACAGTTCACAACTGGGAAACTGCATTCGGCATGTAACCAGTTTGGTTTGTGGCACAGAAAATGAAGCTCTGTGCTGCAGACATTTTTCTTAAATGCTTTCATCAAAAACTGTTTTCCACCATAATAGATCAATTTTACTAGATGTTTGTCTTTTTTGATCAATTTTACTAGATATTTTTCAAATCACCATCCCTTCTCTTACATTCATGCACTGCTGAGTATTTGAGACAAGCAGCAAACAGGTTAAAAATACTGCACTACCTACTTCGTATTCTGGTTTTGTCTCTTCTGGTGCAGTTTGGGAATGGTGCTGTTGTTCTACCTTATCTTCACTGGTGGCTCTTGTTCCAGTTGGTGAAGTTATATGTCTTACTCTATTAATGGAGTAATTAAGGGTCAAATAATTGGGTTATGTTGCATGCACTGGTAGTATTTATAGCTTGTAAGTGGAAGTTGGAGGGGGCAGAAGGCTACAGGTACTTAGAGTTTTAGAACATTCCAATTTGTTGAAATTGAAAGGTGAGCTCCTGCTGAAACAGCCCATAAATAGAATAATGAGGCTGAACAGCATGCCTGTCTTCCCCACCCCTGCCCCATAGTGGATTCTCTGGTATTTTAGTATTTCCCCATTTGTGACCCCCCCAAACAATTGTTAGGTCTTTATGCAACAATTTAAGACTACTAATCAGGTTGCCTCACAAAACACAGTACAACCTCTGATATGAATCACTGTCTGTTTAACTGCAGCAATATTGAAGTAGTTTGTCTTGATGCTCAGCCTTAAAGCTCTCTTTCTGAATACTCAATGCATGCAGAATACAGTTAAATGAGAGGAGAGGGAGAAAAGTGTCTATTTTTTTTGCATCAGTCTTTGTTTAAGTCCATTCTATAGTGTTTCACCCAACAAGTATGCTGGCTGCTCAATATTCCTGATCCCTTTATCCAAACTCGAATTAGTTCACGTGCTTTCTTGAAAGTACAGTGCAGAAAACAGGGTGCAGAATTCTAGTCAGTCTCAGCAATGCTTGCTGTACTGGAAGAGTTATTTTATGTGTATTGTTTAGCATATTTTGGATACCAGCATGTGTGTTTTTTAGTAAATTTTCACTGGACATGCAATGTATTGCAGCCAGCAGTCTGCACGCGCCAATCGTTCCCTAAATCTTCTGAACCAAAGTGCCACTCGACCATGACTACAGGTAGAGATCTAAGCTGCTCTGAGATGCAAGGGGTTTTACAAAGAGAAGCAGTCAGATAGCTGGGTTCTCTCTTCTCTGTTACAAGATACCAGTAAGCCCCCATGGACAAACAGTGTTAGTTTGCTCTGGCTATCCCAGGCTGCAGTTTTACCCTCATGTATTCTTGGCCGAGCTCAGATCCTCATAATTCTCTCCTGACTTTTACATGCATCCCTTTGGGTCGGGTTCTGTCATTTTGAATGTCGCACAAATCCTAATGAAAATACTAAATGCCAGACCCCCAGAGCTCTTACTGATATGTCTACTCTGTGAACTGATAGTATCCTGGCACCAAGTATTATTTATTAGTTCCTTCTGTAAATTGAAGTTACGCTGACTGATCCATAATTCTCCAATCTCCCACCCTTGAACAAAAAGAGAAATTGTACCTGCCACCTGAAGTCTTGTCTGTCTTCCATGGCTTCTCAAAATAGCATCAGCTGTCTCTATGATGGCCTTAAAACAACTTTGCTGTATGTGTGTTTTTTCTCCATTCTCGTGGAAGCTTGTAGTCAGTTGTCACTGGTGTTAGCCTACACTCATGGCTGAGGACCGAAGCAAAAAAAAAAGAAAGGTTAAATATCTTTAAATAGCCTCATCTGGTGCTTCTTTTTCTTCTCAATCAGCTTAAATGAGCTTTTTAAAATTTTTTTGCCTTTTTTTTTATTAAACAGAATAGCGTTTTACCATCTTTAACAGCTTTTGCTAGTTTTATCTTGTTTTGTGCTCTGCCCTTCTGATTTTGTCCCGGTGTACTCCTTTGTGTGCATCTATTGATCTCATTTCTGCTTTTGTACAATTGCCTGTACTTCAACCAAGTGGGTCTTGGTAATTTACTGCACTTCCTATCTTTCCTTCACACAAGGACAGTTTGTGTCTTTAAGAAGGGGCCAACTCTCCTGAACTTTTCTTTCCCTCAGAGATACATAAAAACCTCATGGGAAGGAAGACTCAATTTATTAAACTATTCCTCCTTGAAGCCCACTTTTTATTCTACTGCTCTTTTTCCTTCCTTTTGTGAGAACCCTGACTCACGTCATCGTCACTCTCACTCAGGTTACTTTTCACGTCTATATTCTCTACGTGTTCCATCTCTCTGTCAAAAGTATCTGATTTCTTAACTCATTTCTCTATGTGTTCATCTTCTACATATTTTTACTTTATATATCAGTACATGCCCAGAAAATTCAGAATTTGAACATGTGTTAGCATATGTACTTTTCCCAGCAGTGAGTAGGAAGTTCCTTACTGCACACGACTATTACAAAAGGTTAGACCCAGCATTTTTCAATTCCTTTTCTTCTGTTTTCCTGTATTGTTTTTATGTAGCTGTTATTTCCTTTCTCCAGCTTAAAGTCCCGCTGGCTTGTGGAAAAGCACGTTTGGCTGTTAACTTATTTATTAGGACAACAACAGCCTCTTACTGCTGTATGCTGCAGCAGTCAGGACTCTATTCTTTTTAAGAGTTGTATTTTATTTGTAAGACTAATGGTTCGATGTCTTTCTCCTCCAGCTGAGTACCCCATGGGCTGTGTTCATGACAGGAAATGACACTGCCACAAATCACCAGCTCCAGTATCAAGCGCAGCCACATCTATGTAGACTGCAATGCAATTTCCAAATATATCACATATATCTAATGTTGCATCTGGTGAACTAAATGCTTAACAGCCCCTACCCCCATAGAGAGCATTGTAAGATTCCATTGTAATTGTTTATAATAGATTTACCTTTCTTGCAGTTTGATGGTATCCATGTGGTGAGCGGATCTCTTGACACCTCCATCCGAGTTTGGGATGTGGAGACAGGAAACTGCATTCACACACTCACAGGCCACCAGTCTTTGACGAGTGGAATGGAACTTAAGGACAATATACTCGTGTCTGGAAATGCTGATTCTACAGTCAAAATCTGGGACATTAAAACAGGACAATGTTTACAGACATTGCAAGGTGAGCTTAAACTAACATAATATATATCAAGCTGCCTGCAGTAATCTGTGCTGCAGACCCTATATAAAACCTTCTAACCATTTCACACAAAGAAACAAACACGGACCATTTACAACTTAAGTATCATTTTTCTGGTGACAGCTGTATGATCTTCCTCTGAATTAGAGGAATTTCATCTAATCTATTCAAATCACTTGCCTATTATGAAAGGCAGATGGCCTGAACCGAGAGAAATTTGCAGTCAGTGTATTAGCTTAATAAGCCACAGAAATATGTAGGAAATGACATCTCAAAACAGTCAGTCGACGTATTATTTAGGGGTCACTTGGATGTTTCAGAGCCTACTGATTAATTGGATTGGGAGGCAAAGCAAACTGTCTATTGCAATAAATCAAAAGAAAGGAGTGGAAGACGTTTTCACTTTTTCAGTAAGAAAAAAGATTTTGGTTTCCATTTTTACAGTTGCCACTGACGCATCACACACACCAGCATATTATTTTGTTCCCTCTCCAGAAAAAGTCATATATCATATCCAGCAATGCTGGCTGCAGCAGAAAATTAAACTTCGCTGGAAAAGCAGGCTGCTGTTTTAACAGTTTATCCGTCTCTATATGTCCCTCAGTACTTACCAGTAGAGTAATCCCATAATAACACTTCAAAGGGACTTGGAGAAAAACATGCATCGTGCTCACCTCATTCTGCACAGCTAAGTTCATGTTTGTGAATTTCCAAGTTTGCACTTTGCCTGCTGTGCGTATGGAACAAAACAAGATCACTGTAACAAAGAAGTATTGGGGAAATTTCGCTTTTTGAAAACAGAAGGCAAGGTTCTGTACCTTTTAGAGCATAAAAACAGGGATAACACATCTAAGAGAAACAGCTGCACTCAAGTGGATGGGTATTTACATTACGTGCAGCGCTGTCTGTCACTGCTTTCCCATTAGAAACAAAAATGTTCTGGTTTGCTCTTCTAGGTCCCAACAAACATCAGAGCGCTGTGACCTGTTTACAATTCAACAAGAACTTTGTAATTACCAGCTCAGATGATGGGACTGTAAAACTTTGGGACTTGAAAACGGGTGAATTTATCCGAAATCTAGTTACATTGGAGAGCGGGGGAAGCGGAGGCGTCGTGTGGCGGATCAGAGCTTCCAACACAAAGCTGGTGTGCGCCGTTGGGAGCCGGAACGGGACTGAGGAAACAAAGCTGCTGGTGTTGGACTTTGACGTGGATATGAAGTGAAGGGCAGAAAGATGAATTTATCCAAACGTGTAGACGATGTTCTCCTTTCCCTCCCCTTGGAAAAAAAAAAAAGAAAAAGGAAAAAAAAAAAAAAGAAAAGAAAAAAAGAAAAAAAAAAAAGAAAAAGGAAAAAAAATCCCTTGTCCTTGGTGGTGCAGGATGTTGGCTTGGGGCAACAGATCCTAAAGACCTACAGACTACGAAGGAGAAGACAACGATAACAAACTCTAACTGACAAGAGAGGCATTTGCTGTCTCGTCACATAAAATGGCAACACCTTCGACCGGGGCAGCTTTGCAAGAACACAACTTCTGAAATGAAACCAGGTGCAATTATTTCTTTGCTTTCCTCCAGCTGCTTCTATGAGCAATTTGGAGGTTAAAAAAAAAAAAAAAAAGTTACAGTTCTTGTTACCAGGTTATTTTAGTACAGAGATCCTTAAGGAAGCTGCACAAGCACGCCTGCTGGTACCCCTGGCCGTCAGCAAGGCGCTCTCCCGGCCCCGCTCTGAGCAGGGTCCCTCCCAGCCTCCGTGAGCGGTCGCCGGCTGACTTCAAAAACCAGAGAGCATCTGCAATGAAACCAACTGCAAAACAAAGAGAGTCCATTCCTGGTGTGGAAAAGCTAAAATAGTACTGTGAATTGTTTTGTGCAGTTTTATCAGAGCTTTTTCTTTTTTTTTCTTTTCTTCCTTTTTTTGCCAACCATTGCCAACGTCAATCACAGTATTAGCCTCTGTTTAATCTACTTACCGTTGCTTCCATCTACACTCTTCAATGCATAAGTTGCTCTGAGGTGGCAAGTTGTCCTGGGTTCTGAGAGTCCTCTGATGGATTTAATTCGCAACGCTGGTGCTAGAAGTAGGTCTTCAATTACGGGATTGTTTTCCCACCCCTGTACTGTATTCCCAGTGGCCAAACTTATTTATGCTGCTAAATGAAAGAAAGAAAAAGCAAATTATTTTTTGTTATTTTTTTTTCTGCTGTGACGTTTTAGTCCCAGACTGAATTCCAAATTTGCTCTAGTTTGGTTACAGAAAAAGACTTTTTGCCACTGAAACTTGAGCCAACTGTGCCTCTAAGAGGCTGAGAGTGGAAGAGTTTCAGACAATTAAAGAGTGAAGTTTGCCTGCAAATAAAGAATTGAGTGTGTGTGCAAAGCTTATTTTCTTTTTTTCTGGGCAAAAATTAAAACACATTCCTTAGAACAAAGCTATTGCAGCCTGTTCTGTGGGGAAATTTTTTCTTTGTGAGGGCTGTGGTGAATGGAATGAACATTAAAAAAATTTTAAAAAGCTGACAAAATTTTTAAAAAAGATTATAAAATACAAAAATGAAAGTAAAGTTGCTGGTCAGTCTTAGTGTTTTACAGTATTTGAGAAAAAAAAAACAACTGTTACAGTTATTGCTGGGAGGAACTGACAGAGCAAAAACTTAGGTTTTTGTAAAGATGTCACATGCAAACAAAATGAGAAATGAAAGAGTCAAACAGTTTGCCTCATTCTCCAAGAGCCACAACTCAAGCTGAACTGTGAAAGTGGTTTAACACTGTATCCTAGGCGATCTTTTCTCCTCCTTTTGTTTTGTTTTGTTTTGTTTTATTTATAGTCTGATTTAAAACAATCAGATTCCAGTTGGTTAATTTTAGTTATGTAACAACCTGACAAGATGGAGGAAAACAACGTTTAAAGGGACTGTGTCTATGGTTTGATTCACTTAGAAATTTTATTTTCTTATAACTTAAGTGCAATAAAATGTGTTTTTTCATGTTAGTCTGTCTTGCTTTTTCTCTTTCTCACAGTTACTTTAATGCCACATCGCCTGTGACCCCTAAAGCTCAGCCAAGCACCACAGCTGGCCACAGACGTCAGTGTGAGCATCCCTGCTGCTGGTGCAGTGTGGGATTGGCCTCCAAGAAGCTGGTGGTAAAGCCAGGGCCTTCCCATTGCCAGGGGCTGGCCAGGACTGGACTTCGGGGGGAGGGAGGTATAAAAAGCTTCTCACGTACATAAGAGCTATCTCAATAGCATCCTGTTACTGCAGCTTAAATTGAAACCTGGTTATTGTTTATGGATTTCAATCAATTGATTGCAGTCTTAACAGCGGAAAACACATCCACAAATGCAACTAAAGTCAAAGCGAGGATTGCAGTAGAGCTTGAAACAAGGACAGTGACACAAACCCCACAGCATTCAAGATCAGCCCGGTGGCAGTCCTTTCAGAAGCTGTGCTAAGTCATCAGCTCTTAGAAACCTAACAGCTGAGCGTCCCTTTCTCTTTAAAACTCCCGGACCAAAATCCTTCCTGTTTGGGACATACGATTTTTCTTTCCCTACAGAAAACTGCCATTAAAAAAAAAAAAAAGGAAGTATATGCATGGAAGAGAAAAATATACATCAAATCATGAAATGTCTATCTGCTTACTCAAATGTAGCTGCAATTCCCACATTATGCAAAACAAATAACGATGAAGGAGCGCACTTCCATCTGGCCTCTAGAGATTAAAAAGCCATACAGCATCACTGAGCAGCCACAGATTGTAAATATCTGTTCAGGGAGTTGGTGTTCAAGAAAAAAACAAGCCCTGCAGCAAGCCCTGACACAACAAAACTATGATCATCCAAGTATTTATGTAAAAACAACAAAAGAGCTCATCCTCTCAGCCAGGAGGGCAGTGTATGGATAGCCAGAACTTCAGGGGTACACCTTTTGGGCTGAGAGAAGTGCTTGGCCCTGTGCAGGTCCTGAGCTGGGCACTTTGCTCTGCTGAGCAAGCAGGCAGGGCTCCCCATCTGGGAATGGGGCATCAGCCTGGGCTGAACTACTCGTGGCAGTAAGTAGGGGGAAATACGAAACGTTACTGCAGGGAACCAAGCAATAGCTTTTAAGATTGTGTAATTGTCTTCTACGATTTGTAAAAATTGCAACAACATGTTTTCAAAGAGCAAAGGCAGTTGCTTACCTGCACAGGAGGACGAGAAGTTTCTGAATAACGTTATGCTGGAGGGCAGGAATACAAATCAGGGCAGAAAAATGACTGAAGAGGAAGAACAGCATCCAGACAGGCTCAAGCTGTGTGTAAGTACACTTTAAGCAGCCAATATGAGCAGGATCAAAATGAACTTAACCAGAATCCAGAGTTCTTCCAGGTAATAGAGCAGTTCCAACACTACCTTAAGTTCAAATCAATGCAGACCAGCTTGAACCTGTTGAACAAACCACATTTAGAGCTTCTGTCATCCCACATGCAGATTAAAAACCCCTGTATTGCCTTCAAAGTCAATATGTCGCATGTTAAATACAGAAATCAGCACAGTGCAGTTTAAAAGGCTTTTCCCCTTTGATAAAAAAGCTGTGAAGCAAATTGTGATAGCACTGTAAAGTCTTCTGTTTTGCCACACAGTTGGCTTAGGTTCATAGGCATTCATGTTGCTTACAAGGCACACGAACAATGTCACTCAGTAAGCAGAAATTTGTTAAATTATTCAAGTGACAGCATTTCCAAATGGGCCTGTAGCAAATATGTCATTTGTAAGGAAGCATTTGAGCAGTTTTTCCTTATTTATGGCATATTGTCTTCATTTGGTGTGATTCGATTTTTTGGGTGGGTAATTTGTTTCCAATAAAAGTATTTGTGAGTACTGGTGTAAGACTGGAACTGCTTCAGGCTCTCAGTATGCATGCACTTCTTGAATCTAGTGGCTTATTCATTGTGGATTATAGCATAATGGTATCTGCAGCTATCCTGGAGAGATAATTGTGTGAGCTTCTGGAGCCTTAGCCCTTGTTTTGATACTGATTCCTTTATTTCTTTCCGCTTTAGCTCCAGAAAGAGCTTCCTCATTTTCTACTGTGTCTGAAGCCAAGACAACAACACTAAAAGATGAGTTTTTTTAATAACTATTATTCTTTTTTGGGCTTTGATTTTAGCTAGCAGTGATTAAGTCAGAACTAGCACTGCCACCTCCTCTAAGATGCTGTTCCCGTGGTCTCACATATGCATTTACTTGGTCAGGAACTAAAACCTGATGTTTCACACCTGCATCTACACCAGCCTGTAGCAGAGCTCTGTGAGCCTTTGTGATTCCTTTGGGGTATGAGCAGCAGCTCCTGATTAAACACCTCTAAAATACACGCCTGTGGACATTCGGTCTTTGGGACCAATAGAGTGGTGCTACAGCTGGGCTTCTGCTCACACCTCTAATGGCTGGTAAGGGCATAACCCAGACCTCAACCAAACAGGCCTCCAACAACCCTCTCCTGCAGCACTCATGGCTCCTGATAAGCAGCCAGATCTCATCCAAACATCAGGAACAGAAAAACAGAATCCAGCAGCCAGCACTACGGAGGTTTTGCCAAAGATAAAAGGGCAAATGCCTTCATCTGTCTTTCAGCATGCTTTCTGGGGAGTTTGTTCTGATCTGCTCATGGAATCCAGTTTAAAATATCATCTCTCACTGTCTGGCCAAAATGTTCTACCGGGAAGTCAGCACCTGAATCACTCACAAAAGGAAATCATTACATTCCGCAAAGAGAGAGGCTAAAGATCCAGACTGTTAAAAGCCATGAGAAAAATGACTTGAGTCACTCTGACCAAACAACTGGGAATTACTTGAAGGGCAATATCCAACTATGCTGACCGCTGAATCCTTAATGCGAGTGGGAATATTATCTTTCCATCTCCTGGTATTTTACCAAAAGCCCTTCTCCCTCACTTTGATGCTGTGCAAAGGCACACCTGTTGTGTGACTGTGGTAAGTATTTGATGAAGCTTGACTATACACCATAAATATACGATGTATATTAGGTTGTTCAACTTTTCTTCTGAAATCTGCATATATTGAAACATTTTCCAGTGATGTGTTTCTTTAATCATCACTGCAGATTTGTGAATAACTGTTCTAACGGAAAAGCTGTTTCGGGTCCCTTCTGCAACAGTGTGACCAAACCAGCTGTCCCCAGAAATCCAGCAGCCATTTCAGGCTCCCTGATCAGCTTGCCAAATGGCCTAGTAGCTCCAGGAGTACTTCAGATAAGAGGAATGGTGCATTGTGCTACCACAGTGCACACTGCTGAGTGAAACGCTGCAGCACTCTGCGACTGCAGCCGCCTACAATCCAATGGCTTTATGCCCACATACATACTGCACTGCTCTAGCCCAGGCAGGGCAGGAGAGTCCTCCAAAATCATGACTAAGCATCATCTGGCTAGGACAAAATCTCCCACTAACCAGAGGTGGCAGAACTCATTAATCACAGAGCTTTCCACACAAGAGCCAGGCAGCACAGAAGAATCCAGTGGTGTTTTTAAATGACACACTGTACAGGACAACAGAGGGTAAGCAGACTTGGCCTTAGCCAAAGGCATCCTCCAGCTCTCCTTTGTCCTCACCCCTGCCTTGCTCAGATCCAGCATCATCCACCTGATCTCTGCTCACAAGCTGGTTTGTCACAACCCTACACAGCAGCGGTGATTTTGGTAAAAGAAAATTAGTAATTTGTCCTCTGCATCTCTCTGTGCTGCAGAAGTCAGCTCTGAACTTCCTGCAATGCTTTGTGCAGGGACAGCATGATCTCAGCCTAACACTAAATGCTTCAAGGGAGTCCACGAAGATGAGAATGCATTGTTAGCCTAGAGAGAAACATTTGTCATCAGCACTGCTGAAAAGATTTCCACCTTGAGACTAGACTGAAAGTAATCTTCTAGGCCTGGTGCAATCAGACAAGCTTCAAGTTGATTTCGATTCCTTAATTTTTCAAACACAAAGCCACAAACCTCATCTGGCCGGGTGCCTCCATGACTGCAAAACAGGCACATTCTGTAAGCAGGATTGTGAGTCTTGCTGCCTTGAACCTGAGAGCTCGTGGTCTGTAGACAGGGAACAAACATGGAAGGTCTGTGTAAGCTGGATCAGAAGTGACCTATGAAAAACAGAGAAAGACAGGGGCAATGAATTAGGGGCTTCTTCTGTCAAAAAAAGTCATCAATGCAAGTTCTACAACAACTGGCTATTTCAACATCCTCATCAAAGCACAGGCGTGAGCGTTCTTTATGAAGCACTCATTCTGGCTGGCCTGTAGTCGAGAACACAACCAACCAAGTTAGCTCTGACTTGCACAGACTTCTCATGCCCGGGGCGGGCTGTTTGATGGGCAGGGGAACGCCTGCCTCGCTGCGCCAGCCAGCTGGGGTGCAGGTTTCACACGGTGCTTGCGGTGCGTTATCCGAGAACGCTTTGTTCTTTTAATTTAAAACAGGAAACAAGGAATGCAGAAGATCCAAAAACTTCAAAGGCAGTTTCCATTGCCAAAGGAGCTGCGTTTTGACTCCGTTCAGCCTCCAGATTAAATATTCAAATCTGACAGTGTGGGAAGATGCTTACGCCTTCAAGAGGCTCAAAGATTCCTAAGGAATTGAGGCATTCAGATCAGTTGGCTGTAAATTTCAGTGTGGTAAGCTAAGCAGTAGAAGTGTTCCTAAAAGGTAGTTTTATTTTGAGCTTCTTGGTTTAAAATGAATTTCTAATAATACCACAGCTTTGCAGACACATACGCAACATAAAGTATGTTCCCTTTACCATGATATACAGAAGATCTGAGTAGAACATCTCCCTCTGTTTTCAAACCCCCACTTGCTTTTAGGTTTCCTGTTACATTTAAGTGCTGAATTTGAATGCTCATGTTATAGTTCTGAAAAATAAAGAACTCAAAAGCTGCACACTAGAAGGACTCCAAAGTTTTTCCCTCAGACTGTTTAATGCTACCTGTCTGCTTTGGCATACCTCCTGTCAATTCTCAGCTTAAGGAGTCAGTGTTTCTGTTACACACTGCACATGTTTTCCCAAACAATGAAGATTTGTAGAGATGTTATACTGCTGTCCCCAGTGGAAAAGTTTCTTGATGTTTTTCTGCTGGTGTTAGCAATGCACATTTAGCACATGCTTTGGGCATGCCCTGGATGCCCTCTGCACTATCCTGCTGACTACTGCCACGCTTGTGATATCCCATTTCATCCAGACCAACACAGCAGCACAATGTTCCTGGTGCCCATTCTTCCATCCCACACAATTTGCTATTACATTTCAAGAGCAGATAACTGATCTGCCCGGGTTCACCTGTCACCAGCAGCTAGCAGATCTCCCTGCACTTCACTTTTGACCAAAAGGCAGAACAGGAAGAACCTGGGGCAAAGGAGCAGTAAGATGGAGGAATGCCCCCAGATGTGAGACAGCCATTAACGCAGCCATCTGTTTGTGTGCCTAAATGGGATACAGCCCCACTAAGCCCACAGATCTCCAACTGCAGTTCAGAAAGTCAGCATTACAACTTCTTTTTAAGAGGTATTTTATAAAGGTTTCAAGTATGCATTTGTTTCTAAATAAATACGTTCACATCTTGAAATGCCTCTTGCTTTACATACTTAAAAATAAACAATAAAATCTTGCGACAAACTGTTTTCCTCTGCTTTGTTCCCTCATTTTCTCTTTTCTTTGGCACTTGCACTTCAGTTTCCCTGCGTTTTGCTTCCTCCTTTGTCCTCTCCCTGTGCTTTTCCTTTCGTGCTTCACCATTCATGTCCCATTTTTCAAATTTTTATCCCTTCCTCATCTTTCCCCACTCCCAGCCCTTCTCCTTCATTAAAGCTGTCACAGCCAGCTTCTCCCTCCTGCTTCCACCCAACATCTGAGCTGGCACATTGGAGTCTTTTTCACACCACTCTACAGATGTAAGATGCACAGGAGATAGATAAGACTGATGGGAATCAAATGCAGAGCTTCCCATCCCAGAGCTTTAAAAAAAAAAAAAAAAAAAAATCATTTATCTGCTTTAGCATTAAAGACCTAATGTTCCTCTCTCCACAGCCCAGAGACAACCCATGTGGTCCGGTAACACTGGGATCAGGCCCTCTGAGCATGGCCCGGTTTACCATTAATTTCACAAACAACTGAGCAACAAGGATTGCCCAATTCAATCCTCGTTAAGCAAAATGTATTAGCTCTCATTAAAACAAAAACATGTATTATCTTGCTCCTTCGGAAATCTAATGTGTAAAGGCATTTTTGAAAGCATTCCTCACTAGGAAACGTGTGATTTCTGTATACCTGCAGAATTTGGAAGATACATTTGGTAAAAAGTCTCCAAGGTAAGTACAGAAGCTATCATCCCAACAAGTGCCCCTTTGTCTCATAAAGCCATGTAGAAATAAGGATTGGAAGCTGCAAACGAAGCCACGTTCTGAACTCGACAGCAGTGGCGGATTTTCCTTCCGGTGGTACCACGGCAGCACAGCTGGGGCAGCGCGGTCTGTCAGGGCACGTTAGCAATCATACACAAAGCACATCTAAAGCAATCTAGCACACATTTCTCACTAATTCTTAATACACAATGACAGCGTAGGCAACAAAAGCTCCACAGCCAGCGTAGGATGTGGCCACGCACTGGGTAACCTGCTGGTGAAATTTAGCTGTGTTACACTGTATATCCTGCTGAAAAAAGCCAGGGATGTGCAGCACCTCTCTGAGGTTTGGTTTCCGCATAGTGTCAAGCCAGCATAACTTAATCCAAAGAGATCAACAACTGGTAAGAAGGACACAAACTGTCCAAAGCAACAAAGACTCATGTAAAACATGCTGGTCTTTGCAGGACAGAAGGCAGTGAAACCTATCAAACACTCACACCATAACAGCAACAAACCAAACAAAGCTCAAATCCAAATCCACACAGCTTTCATCTCCCTGTTTCATTTCAGCCTAATAACAGCGTTACCAACTGCAGGTGACCTCTCCTTCTTCCAAATGCATGCCCACCCCTATCCAGCATGAGCTCAGTGCACACTGTACTCACAGACTGTATGAAGAAAGGTAAGAAGGATTTACCATACGCTTTGTTTTTATTTTTGCTAATTTTTTCAAACATTTTGCTTTTATTTCCACTGTTTCACAAACAGGCAGAACAGCCACTGCCACGTTTCTCAATAGCTAGAACAAAGCCAGCAATACATTGATATTGCTGCTTATCCTTTCAGGGCTGCAGAATCACCACATCAGGGAAAATAAGTCAGAATTAGGCAGAGGTTCAAAGCTCAAAAAGCACAGCATGTGAGCAGCGCTGTGTCCTGAACTCCTGAGAGAAGGAGCTGACCCCACTGACAGCTTGTATGGGAACTGCTGAATCACGGCCTGAACCTCTGATTGATCACCTGAGGCAAGCAACCAGTCAGCCCTGGGAGCACAGGTGAAGGCAATTCAGCTGTGCTGCCAGAAGGGGTGGAGCCTGGCTGCACCTCTCTAGACCCATCTAGGAGCTCACCACCAGTGGAGAAGGATGTCTTCTGGAGATCCATTCTGCTGGAGTTTCATAAAGTGAGTCCAGGATATGGGTAAGCATCCTATCTGTTCTCTTTTTGTTGTTATAACCTACTTTGCCAAACTCTCTTGTTTATTTCATAAGTATAACATCTTAATATTCATTGATTATACACAGCTTTACCCTACACAGCCACAGCCACCACATTGCACACAGCAGCAGCTAAAGCAGCAGTGAAGGCAACAGGAGCTTTCCCACGGACAGAAGGAGTGCATCAGACAAGAAAAACCCATGTGTCTATTACTTCGTGCTCTTAGAGGCCCCACACATTCCTCCCCTTGTGATACCTGACTAATCTGACAGCACATGACAAATGAAGCTGCTCTGACAGGAAGACAAGAGTTCCCCTCTCCTTTGACCCTCCAAACAACTTCTGCTCTCTTCATTAACACCTGATGCAGCCTTCTATGCTCACAGCTGAAGCTCCATCAGCAGGACGGAAGGGCCCCCCTCCCATACCAGTGGGCACACAGACTGGTTGCAGCCATCTCCTGCCACCACCCACGGCTGTACACTGAAGATAAAAAGATATCTTTCTCCATAGCTCTTCTTTAAAAATTCAGAATAGTGTCCTTAAAAATTGTTCTTTCTGTCCAATTTGTGATTTAGGTAAAAGCAATTTAGGTGAGACAAAAGAGACTGCTTCACAAGACATACCATTCTTTTAGCTCTGTGATAAAAAGGAAGGAATCACATCTCAGGCATAAAAGCAACAAAATGACAGTGCCAATACTTCGCACCTAGCCCAAATGCAAGCTGCTTACATTTTAAGATTCTTCTCCTGCACCCAGATAAGAGGCACAGAGACAACAGACCGTGAAGCTCACGTGGTATTTTTCCCTTTCAGGAAAAATAGCTATTTCTGTCTGCCCTTCTCACGAAATGCAAAGGCCTACTCAGTGCAACCCTTGTCTCTCTTTCCCTCAGATGAGGATTACATTTTTGCAGTGCCCTCAGAGAGCCGTGGATGTCTTTGAGAGCCACTCCAGTTTGGAGGCCCGCTCCGGGGGGGAAGCAGCGTCTTTTGAGATCAGTGTTTGGTAGCAAGAGCGTCTTCCTGCCCACATTTCCATCTCACATGTTCTCAGACATTTTCCGGCATCTACCCAATGTGCACTGAGCAGTGAGAAATTGAGAGTTCAAGCAAATGATATAGACGAATGGATAATTAGCCCCTAGGAATGCATCCAGCTACAGTTAGACTCCATGAAGGTTAGAGACCCAATTCCTCCTCAATTAAATGTGATACTGAAGAAATTTATAGGGCTTTATTCAAGCTACTAATTTCTCAGTTTTACTGAAAACAATTTACAATCAAATGAAGTGAAAGCTAGAAGCAAAGCGTACATTAATTACTTAATTTTCCTTTTGCGTTTCTCTTCATTTTATCTTTCAGTGAAGACGCATCTTAAAATTAGGATAATATGCCAGTAAATATTATACATTTTTTTTCTTTTAGTTATTACTGCATAAAAGCTGAATCGCTTCTATGAACTTCAGTGTTGCCTTCTGCTGAGGACAGTGTTGTATCACCAATCTGCAGCACCAGCAAGTGG